CTGTTTTCTTATAAATATATAAATTTTTTTCTAACAATTTAAATTATAATTTTTTTTTTATAAATATATAAATCTTATCTATTTAAATTGCTAGAGTAAAATGGATGTACAATCTTATCTATCCCTGTGCAACTATACAAGAAAATGGATCGACCGTTCATAGTTTGTTAGGTACAACCACAATACTCCAACTAGCTTACATCTTCCGAAATTTAAGATCTGAGCAATTAGAATTACTGGTTGATTAAGTAGTACCTAATAAGAATTAACTCCGCCGAGAAAAAATGAAAGAAAATAAATGCCACAACATAAATACTTGGAATCTTTTTTATTTCATATTTAATTCCTCATGTAGATCACAGAAATCTGAGATGTAGCAACCCTAACCATCCCACTGAAGTAGTCAACTCTATTTTTGGTGTTACCTTATGGAAATAGCAAACTGTAAGATAAACTATTATGGACGATTAGATAAATAAACGACCTATGATTAACATCACCCATCAGGTAAATATTTTCAAATCATAATATCTTTTCCTAAAAAAGCTGAGCCAACAAATAAATATATGTGACCGTCAACAGATACAACTTTTTACACATGTTAATTCCACACAAAAAATCGACAAATTGATGTGAGCCTGTGACCAACACCACTCTTAAATATATAGGGATCCAGGTGGATTCGAACCACCGACCTCTCGACTGCAATAAGCATCGAGCGCTCCACCATAAACCGAGCTCTTGGACCCATCCAAAAAAGAAGTCGCGACACAATAAATATATGAAATTACGATTGAGATAGTAAGAAAAGAAAGCCCTACGTTCTTTGAAATACAAAATGTAAGGGACCAGAAGCCACTATCCTAAATTTTCCAAGAGGTGACATAGAAATTAATGCGCTAAATAGTATGTTGTCAGTTAAAAACAACGCATTACCCATTATTAGTGTAAAAACACAAATTTTAGGCCCACTAATAAGCCCAGGTTAGTTCCAGGCAGCAATCTTAGGAGAATTACTGATCGACTAGGACCAAATTTTAACATAACATTCATCGGCTATGCAGAATAGTACAGCTACCATGACAAGTTAGACTAAGAAAACAACATAGTATAAAATATGCAGGACCGGTAAATTTTTATAATTATAAAATAAAAATCTTTTGGACCAAGACGGCGAAAACCAAATCCAAACTACACACTAGGCAAATACTTCCATTGCAATTTCCAGCATACCAGTTCTTACTTATAATTTAAAAAACAACAAAAAAAAAGTCTAAAATATGCAAAAGACGGGGAAAAAAATATTATTGTAAAGATAATCTTAGGACCAAGAAAACAAAACCTAAACTACATTGGACAGCTACTTCCATTGCGACAAAATTCCACCAATCTAGTTCTTACTTGTAAATTGTAATACATATACCGCCAACCTGAAACAAAATTATCAAGGGGACACACCAACAGTCTAACAAAACAACAAATCTTTATACTAGAGAAAACAAGACAATTAGACACGGCCAATGGAATATATATTCACAACGTCAAAATTAAACGCACCAGCACTGTATAAAAACTGGTAATTGTCCACTACATCATTAGGACCATGTGAAATACTCCAGTCTGCGGTTGAGCAAAAAATCATGCCCTGCATGGCACAGAATACATTATATCTCCATGTAATTACAAATACAAGCAAGACATCCACTGATGTAAATATGATTATATTTTACTCTGCAGAGAGCGGAGAGCTTTGAATTAAATTCTGCAAAATATAACACAATGGAGCTGATTACCTCGAGAATATGACAAGACATAACAAAGTCCGAGACAAACACCTTCAGTTATCAGTGTACCGTAACAACGTTTATGAGTGCTAATACTTCAGAAAAGAAATTCCGAACCATCTTAAGCCCTCACAAGAAGCTGGCGTGGAGACAATCGTATACTGGAAGTTCCTCGGGGACTACAGAGTTGCAGCACATCAACTGGACGCGACAACATACACAACCAACTGCTGTTGGGCCTTCAAACAAGAAACAGCGACAAGCTTGAGCTGTTCCTCAGGAAAATATCCGCAAAGCAATGAAATAAATATACTCGAGAGTATTATGATTACTCTCACACAACAAAAACCACCATGAGATGCCAAATCTTTTAACTTCAGCAGCAGCAGCACGAACATTCTTCACAACTTCAGTTAGAAGTAGATATACCCAGAATAAACTAAGATTTGTCATGACACCGTGTAATATCAAATGTTTCAACTTCAACATTAGTTGCAGCAGCTAAAACATTCTTGAAAACTCCGGTTGACAATCTTCACATTCCCAGATAACTCATAACACTTCAACGCAGCACATCTCAAGCACCAGTTTAGAACTTCAGTAAGCACCACTACTCCAAATTGTTATAAAACAAAGAAGCACCCATCTTCATCTGATACGCACCAGGCTAAGCACAACACTGAATTGTTTTTACAGTCAAATTCCCAAACCTGCCTAAAAAGATACCCTCCCAAAGGGCTACAAATAAGGGTGCCATAACAAGAATCTCCAATGAATTGTAACTACTACATTACTGATTGGGAGAACATAGCTGTTACTAGAAAGACATTACTTGAACAATTTACCCGATACAATATATAAACTGCCAATACTTAAAATACCAGGCAAAAGAAAAATTAAAGGACAACCAGGTGAATAATTGCAAGTCCACGAGTAATAGAAGATGAAATTCATGGTCTACAGCACTTGGATTGCCTACATAATTATTGGTCTTTTCGCAATTTCATGCTAGCAGACGGCTTGTTAAATTTCACTACATATATCCTCCGTATATTACAACTCGAATCGACCAATTAACATTTGAAAGATTAACCTACTACTGGCTAATTTAATTATTAAATGGAAGCTTAAACAACAAAAACTTAGACTGGCCCTTGTGAGGTTGTAAGAACTATGCGATAAGATCAACTTTGCATTACCACCTATAACAGAACATAAATCTTCATATTTTCCATTTCCAGATTAATTTAAGCAAATTTTCCATAAATAAAAATTGTTCATTACATTTTACTGGGAAAACACACGTTTATAAGTTACCCTACTAAAACTTTTTTCTTTAAATTGAGAAGCCCCCTATTAACTATTAGGCAGAATAAATTTTCAAAAACCACATGGATCATTATGATCAATTCAAGTCCGTATGAAAAAAAAGCAGTTGAAAGCATTCTTCTTTTTACAAGATGGGGACTCAAACTCTTCACAAAAAGGTCAAACTTTTCGCGCGAGCTGCTTTCATATAAAGGTGTATGTGGTTTGACATAAAAAATAAGCTTTTGGGGCAATTCGAACTGCTAGAAGTAGTTTTATAATTGCGGCTTGCTAAATATTATGAATATCAATTAGTATAATGAAAATTAAGGCGAGTAATTTAGAAAGTATAGCTGTTACGAAGAAATTGAAAGTAAACTTCATGAAGAGAATTGATATTGTACCTCTATTGAAGTGCTGCAGTAGAAACGTTGCTTTGTCCATCGTCGTGTTTAGCAAATCAACATGAGTTACTTATCCTTGAATAAACATCTCGGCTCAAAATTATAAGACCGATTCAATGACAAGTAACCACTGGATCGATGCAGAATTGTTGGACGCCGGAGCAAGGAATGAGAACGAAAAATAAAAAGGACACGAGACACCCAAAGAGAGAAGAGCCGGGCAAAACCCCGTGCCTCTTCTCTCCAACACCAAAATAAATACTTTTATTAGGTACTTTCGACCTGCCATGCGAGCGCACCCAACATGGCAAAGGCCTGGTAACATGAACAATAAATATCTCACTTTTTACTCTCATATGTCGCACAACATCACTCAATCTTTCAACCACTCGTACATATGCATGCATAAATAAAACTAATGCAAATGAAATTCAAATAATTATAGACATCAAATTTAAACTATTATAACCTTATATACACCATCATGCTAGATGATTTCAAGCCTGGATCGATGATTACTGGTCCAAACTGTTTGATCCATCAAACGAGACACCAATTGAATAGTCCTTGCATCACTACTCAGAGCATCACTACTCAGATCTGCAACATGTGAAAAGGATTAGCGTGTTGACTTCCTTGCATCACCACTCAGATCTGCAACATGTGAAAAGGATTAGCGTGTTTTCAACAGAAACTTTCTTAATTTCACCTTTTCCCAAGCAAACAAAACAGAATAAGCATATTTAGCTCACCAGTAAAGCTCTTGCAAACAACAGTTGAATCATCGCGAAGTTAACACCTCGGTTGCTGAAAATATGGCTCCAACCTCCTCAAATCTATGAAGATCAAACAGATCAGTTGCTCATCTACCTCGAACCCGTGCGTAAAGCATCAGATCTACCATCTCTTATTCAACCGGCGGCAACAGTCGACGTATACCGAACAGTTTCAGCGTACGGTTGGTCAACGGCCAAGCGGTCACAGAAACACGGCAAATCCATATTCAAAAGGTAGATCGAAGAACGATCTACACAGATCTAAACATAAAGATAGAAGAAGATAAACTATGCCGAAGAGATCTGGAGAAACCAGAGGTTGGGTGTAGAATGAAAAGGTATGCAAGAATGAAAGAGGGAGATCGTAATTTATTGAGAATTCTGAAGGATCGGACGGCTCAGATTAATTTAGGATAAGATAATTAACGGTGGGATGAGTTATAACCGTAAGAGGCGGCAAAGAGGTTGACGAGGAATAGGGTACGCAAATACATGGACAGCTGTTATGGAAATTTTATTAAAGGGGAAGGTTCTGGATGTGCTCCATTTTGACTAGGACATCTTTTGTAAATTGATACAACATGTTTTTTCCTTTTTAATTTGATGTCTAATATTTATATTGAAACCAATAAATTTATATTCGCAATGAAAAAGGTATATTTGAGAAAAACGTTTTTTTATCAGAAAAAAAAAATTAAATTCCTAACTCAAAACTAATATCTCCAGTTAAAAAATAG